GTAACTAGCGGACCCTACACATTTCTCAGATGACTAGAGTCTGTCGGTTTCAAAATTTTCAGATCTGAACCCGACCAAGCTCTTGAGATTGTACAGAATACTATTTTGATCAATTTTATATTTCGATTGAAACCTATCAAATTTACAATGCGAAATAATTTTTATTGGTTCAATTTGATAGAGCAAAGAGTGCGCTACAAAGTACTCTATTGACCTTTGCATCATAGATCTTTTAAATTTCGTATTTTTAAAAGCAATTTTTTGACCAATGCTCATTTCTGTAGAAACTAGTTCTTTAGTGAAAATATATAGATGAAATTTCGCATTTTGTACAGAATTCAATGCTGTACAGTAATGCTGACCAAAGAATCGTCTGAATTGATATTCACCGTTCGAGCTTATATTAAGCCTATAAGGATGCTTTCGTGAGGTTAGAAATTCAATATCTCCACATAGGAACATTCTTTTCAGCTGAAACTTTTAGGATATTTTACAGACTATTGGATCTGTGTAAGAGCAAAATTTCACTTCGAAATTCCGTTTTTTGATTATTCAGTATTTATGCAAAGCCGAATCGAAAAGTCAGTAAAACGATCCTAAATTAGCTTCAGAGGTTCAAAGGAGGCGAACACTCTTAGACTTTTTCTAGCTTCACGAAAGCGTCTATGTAGGTCTCATATGAGCTCAAACGGTAAGTGTCAATTCGAATGATTCTCTAATGAGTAGAAGTCGTTCCAAAACATAAACTAAGCAATGCAGTAAACTCACTATTTTGCCTTGTACAGATACAATTCTGCACTTTTTTCGCAAAACTTACTGATAGTTGTTCGATCTTATCCTAGAAGGAAAATCTGAACATACATTTGGTAATAGCGAATGTTTTCTGTCAAGACTTTCGCATCATAGATTAATAATAGAAATTTTAATTTTATGTGTAATCGTGCTAATTTCTCAAATTTTTAATAGACTTTTATGTTTATAAAATGACGAAGACATGAAAGAAGAATTGATTTTTGGTTAGTGTGACGATTATCTGGATCATTTCGAATATATTTCTATTATTTTTAAGAAATTTCTATGATATAAAGAAAGACAATTTCAAAATTGACATTGACTTGAAATAATATTTTTATTTACTGATATCAAATGTTTAAATCAACATAAATCATCAAATACAATAATCCGTATAATCTCCATTTTTTCAAATATTCTGCTGTTTCAATGGACATCATCAGTTAAACATTTTATCGAAATATAATCCTGTTTTTTTTTTGTTTCATAAGGTTATAAATATCTGATTTAATCATCTTGTTGATAGTATTTCTTTTTAGGTACATGTGTAATAGTAATAAATAGAAATATTATTTTTAAAGAAAAATTTATCATAAAATTAAAAAATAATAATAGGATGAAATAATTAACTAATCTAGATGGTATTTTTTTTTTGTAGATAAAATATCAATAGAATGACTTAATTTAATATAAACTGCATTTAGTTTTAATTATATAAAGAATGAATAATTCGTAAGTTTAGTTTGATTGAATTCATTTTTTCTTTTAAAATATATATAAATAGAATTATTATTTTATCTATGAATGTATAAAATAATTTAGACCTTCTTCTGTCAATAGTCTTCTATCAAATTTAAAATCAACAATTGAATTATTAATTCAATTTCGAGGTGATTCACTAACAACAAAATATGGTGCCATTGAAAGACTTCGATTGGTTATTTTGGCTATTCTAACACATAGTCTCAAACAAGTACGTTAATATTTTATCGTATAACTATTGTACATATGAGTGACGTAGATTTAACTTTTTAGAGAAAATAATAAGTTTTTCTTACAGACATATTTCCTTTCTTGAACTTTATCTTCTCAAAGACATGATATCTACTATTCATGCTTCACTGCTTTTTGAATAACTTTCAATAGGAACATCATAGAGACCTGTAGTTTTCATCATTCAAGAGAAAAGACCTGAGACCATCGAAGTATATAGAAATTACAGTGGTCAACAACACCTGAACCAATCACATGAGTTTTTGGTGGAGATTTTCAAAAAACGATATTCTGATTCTACTTCTTTTTCGATCTACACAAGACTGAGATTCCTTAATTGTTCCGTTCGAAAGTTATAAGACTTTTCCTGATAGCTCCGATTCCAGCCAATTGACATGTGATCATCTGGAAAAGTAGCACAGTCGAAGTAATTTACCATCAGTCTTCATGCAACGAAGGAGTCAACATTTCGGAAATATTGAGATAATAGAGTCAAATCATTTCAAGTCTAAAAGCAAGTATCACCATTGAATTCAGTAGTGTAAATCACCCTGCCTAGCTGCTTTTCCGAGTGGTCACAAGTCAATTAGTTGAAGTCAGAACTCTCAGGAAAGGTTTTATAACTCTCGAACGGAATAAACTAGGAATGCCGGTCTTTCGTAGATCGAAAGAGAAAAGTTTTTTTAATCGATTAGTCCTATTAAAAATCTAAGTCAAAAAGGAAATCGTTTCAAAATATCGTTTTCGATATTTTTCGTTGACCCCAGATCTTCTCTCTTGAATGTTGAAAACTGCAGGTCTTTATGATATTTCTATCAAAAATTATTCAAAGAACAATGGAGCACATTATATTTCGAAATGGATAGTAGAAAACTTTATTGTTGACTTATTGAAGAACGCATTAAATGCGCTTCAAATTAGAGTATACACTTTTTATAGAATAAATTATTTATTCAAAATAACATCAATTTTTTGTCAAACACAATCTAAAAGAAATGTTGAAGTCTAAGAGTAAAAATTTGCCTCCTCCACAGACTGTGGCAAACGTTAATATATGATCACAGGCAACATATGCATAATGTCTTTTTATAACATATGAACTTCTTCCTTATTACATATGTGAAGAATGGAGTAAAACAATGATGTAAAAATGTGTCCGAAAATAGATAGAATAAAACAATCTTTCTATGATTAGCAACAACAGTTACATCATGTTTCACATTGTAATTCCGGAGAGCTTTTGCTAACAGTTTGCTATTACCTTCGGTTCACTGATCAGTGTATTCACGTTTTCATGGACATGTAAAATAAAAATTGCCAGACAAGTTGTCAATTATTCATTGTCATCATCAAGATATCGAATATATCTGTACATTAGATTACATAGTTATACTTTTAAGTACTCATACAACATTCAGAAAAAAATAATAAGTTCATATTATTTTTCCAAACCTTTTTTTTTCCCGAAGAACAAATTTGTTTATTTTTCAAGGCAATATAACACTGATGATAGTTTCTTAATAATATTTTAAAATTTTTATGTAAAACTTTATCAGTGAATTTTTTTTTCTAGTTGTACGAACAATAGAAATCATTTAAAATTTCAAGTCAAGATAATTGGATAGAAATACTTTTCCAATGATTAATTATAGAAAATAATAGAAAAGTAAACTTGATTTTACGACTAAATGATCTAGTAATCATTGCCTAAGGTGTTTCATTAAAAAAATCTAAGATTAAATGTGATTTCATCTAGGGTTCGTTTTTCTTTTTTTTTTTTTCTTAATAGAAATATAATTTAATGAAAGAACTAGGAGAATACTTGATATGAAAACCAATTTACTATTTTTTAAGAGCTATTTCCTTTCTCTTCATTCATAATCTAATAGAGTTCTTCAAATTAATAGTGGATTAAATAAATTAATGCGTGGGCAAATATAAAAGCTGTATCTCTTTATAAAATAAAAGAAAACTGATGTCAATTATATATTGAATACAAGAATTGCCTTTGAATATATTTAAAAAAAGAAAATAAAAAATAGAAATATTCCATATGGTAGTCTCATTTCTGGTTCATAGATCATGACATGTAATTTTATGATTCTTTGATCTAGTATCAGAAAAAATTTGAATAAATTTATTATCATCTCATGCTAGACACAAGCTATGACACACTTTATTTTCATTAATTTGATATATTCATATCAATAATGCATAGGAATTTATAATCGATTTTATGTAATATAAATTTATTGGATTTTTTGTTTTATTCATGTCGAACAATTTCATACAGATTTCAAAGTGTTCAGTTGAGAAATATTAACTTTATACCTAAACGTCTGTATAAGTAATGTGATTTATTTTTTTTATACTAAAACCATATAGAATATGTTTTATGTAGAAAAAAAAAAATTATCTCTTCGATAAGTAATTTTCTTAATAAATGAAATCCTCCTAGGAAAATAAAGTATTAAGATATATTGTTAAAGCCTTCATTTGCATTGAAACTTATCTTGTATTCGAAAGATTAAAAAAAAAAGAACTTTGTCAATGGAACATTAGAACTAAGAAAGTATTATTAGAAATCTGAATAGATAGCTAGAATATTAATGAATAATTATTTTGATCATTAACATATTAAAATTTGGATATTCATTATAAAAAATCAATAAAATTAGAATTATTAATAGAAAACATATATAGATGCAATAATTAATGAAAATACAAAGTGAACGTGTCATGTATATCCGATGTAATCAATGTAATTAAACTAAAATAGACTCCGAATTATTTTTAATTACAATATTGATATTCTAAAATAGGATTTCATTTTTATTCTCTCTCTCTGTATAGATATATTTTTTTTTTGATAGAATACACATGATATCTATGAACAATTATGGCAATTAATTGTTCGTTTAAATGCAAATTCTCAGCGATATATTCATTTATTACAAGATATATATCATAAAGAAAATATTCGACAATCTGTTGAACAATGGATTGATCAATCGGTTATAAGTCAATGTTTATCTCAACAACTATCATGTGCTGAACATGATAATGATTTATTCGAACAATATTATTATCGTAAGTTTGTTTTGTTTTGTTTTTTTTTTATTTATTTTTCTTTTCGTTTTTATTTATTCTCTGCTGTTTGAAATCAACATTTTTAAGATGATATTTTTTTAAACAGTAAACACATATATATACGTCTAACGTCGACGACCAATATAAGGACGCATATTTTTTGTAAAATGATGTTTCGAATCAGGAATAAGAAGAATATAATCACCATTACGAACAATATAAAAACCTGTACCACGTTCATTACGTTCTAAGTATATATTGTCATTATTATCATTATTTAAAGTTTTTTCATTTAACACGAACCAATCTCGATCTTTAATATCATTGTCATTGTTGTCATTATTTATATTGTTAGTTATTGATAATGATGATGATGATGATGAATAAAATGGATAGGCATTTGACATAGACGGTAGTATACAGCACATAAATAAAACAAATGATAGGAGAAGTACGACGCGACTAGGCGACGAATAAAGTTTGTTGGCCGTTGTAACGAAGAAGAAGAGCATTGATTGTTGTTGAATACTCTTCTTCTTCTCTTTTTTTTTAATGTGTTATTGGACTATGTAGTTTGGCGTTCTTCTGGTTTTTATTCTCTGCTGACATAATAGAGAAAAAAATATATAATCAAATAGACAGATAGATAGATAAGAAAAGAAATAGTGAATGATGGATTTGAAGTGTTATATTTTTATGATTCTCAATATATACGAACAAAATTCGTATTATTTTAGTTCTCTCATGGGAGTAGAATATGATCTTTAATTGTACATGGAACGAGGAAATTTTTTAAAGTATAGCAAAAGATAATAAAAGAGTGGGAGTCATAGTGGTGAATGTTTTATAGTAGGTCAAATTATATAAAATCATGTTGACTAATTTATTTCTTAATTATACTTTCTTTGCGTAGTTGTCAATGTTAATGGAAAGTATGCCGAACGTTTTCTTTTTTTTTTTCTTCTTCAAAAAATACTTTTACTTTTGTTAAATATTTAATAATCGAAAAAAATTGATTTTAAATCGATTTCAACAGAAATTGATTTTATCTTAATACTTTTTCTATAAGAATTAATGAAGACGGAAGGAAAAGAAGACAAGCGTGATCATAGAGTTTACGTATACTTATGAACTATTATAATGATGATGATAAAGATAAAGATGCCATAAGAAAAAGAGCGTTTAGTAGAAGAGCATGGAGTAAAGAATTGTTTGAAAATTCTAAAACGAGGAATATGAAAAGAAAAATGTAGTGAGAAACAATAAAAAAAAAAAGTCATCTTTCAATAATAAAAAGAGATTATAATTTTTTCTTCTACTGTGTTTTTCTCTACTGAACAATACAAATCAAATCTTTCAATGTCTAACTATCATTTGCTTTTTTGTATAATCATGTCAGAAAAAAAAAATGATTTAATAATACAATGAATGACACCAAAGATAGAATTAGGATTTAAAGAATTGAATAAAGCAGACGATAGTACTATAGACAAGAAGTAGAAGCCGAAGAAAATCATAGTCGGGTACCGGATGTTGAATGCAGAAAAAAAAAAAAAAGAAAAAGATGAGTGGGTGTGGCAGAAATGATGAATGGCATCGGAAACGATAAAAAAATCAATGCTTTTCTAATTTAATATCTTTAAATGAAATTATAAAATCGGTAATCTAGCTCGTGTCATTTTTTTTATTATTTATTAATTGTAATCTTTTAACAATAATGAAGATTAATTCTCAAATGATATACATATAAATAATAAAATATCTAATAATTATCACCTATCAATAAAGAAAAATACAAACATTCATATTTATGATTAATAATTTTAATCAATACAACAAAAGATCATATTTAACACCTAGATTTTAGAAAGACGCAATAAATTATACACTTGATATAATTAGTTATAAGTGTATGTTTGTTCAAGTATTCGTAAATTCTAGAATGTATTAAATACTTTGATTTAATACTAAAGATCAACTATGCAGACAAATAAACTTATAAAGTAGCTTAGTGTGCTTTCAGTTTTTTACTGTTTCAGATCATTGATTTCTATCGTCGCGGTTTCTTGATTATCTGATAGGTTGTTGTCGAAAAACATGAGAAAATGATAGAAATCTCCGATTACCGGATTTTTCTAGTTTCCATAGACAGAGTTGATCACTGGTTTCTGATTGGACATGACACATATTTCTTGACATAAGATGGTTTGTGTTTCATTGTGTCAAATTCATAACTTATTAAATGTTAGCTAATATTTTTAGGATTAAGACATTAATCCTTTTTTTTTTTTGCCTTATTCATTTTAGTTTAAGTCGAAAATACGAATAACATTAGCGGATGTTACGATGCCGTTCTATTAAGATTTCATATTTACTGATCTTCTTTATTAATTACGTTCTTTTTTTTTTCTAATGATTAAAATAAATGGATCACATAAATTATTATTTTTTTTTTCTTTCTTTTCTTTTTTATACTTAATGCACTCGATTAATTCCTTCTCTTTTTATAATCATATCTCTTAAAGAAAGCTAAACACTAGAGAGAAATAAATTGTTTGTCCTTTTAGCTCATGCTTTTATGCGAAATTCATCATTTTATCATGCATTTCTTATTTGTATACGAACTGTTGAATATAGTGATCCATCATTACTTGTTGAAATTGATCCTAAATTGGTAAAAAAAAAAAAAAAAAGACAAAATATTTTTTTTTCTCTATCCTACTAATATCGTATTTCTTTAGTCAATTGTTGGATTTTACTCTATAACATCAACAAATAATATTATAAATCAATCAAACTTATCATCATCACCATACATAGTTACAAATAAAAAATCTAAAGATGATATTCCACAAAAATTTGGTAAAAAAGGAAATATCTTAGTGTCTTTTCGTTCTATATATATATTTTTTTTTTCTTAGATTCTCTTATACCACAACGTATACTTCATCGTCGTATACATAGTGATCCAATATTTTCTATTCCTAAAGATTCAATTAATTTAAATCGTTCACGTGTTGCATCACCATCACCAATGTCAATATATGATGATAATCCATTTCAACGACAAAATAATATTCCAAATATATCTTATATTCAATCAGATGAATATGGTTCATATGGATCAAGTTATGATTCTCGTGCGGATATATTTGATCAAAATAAACAAACAAAATTAACATTAGGACAATCAACAAATTTCGAAAATAATACTAATAATAATAATCGTCAATCAATATCAAGTGAAATAACATTAATTGATGAACAAGATAATGATTTATATAGAAATCGTTTATCAACACTTATAAATAATGATGAAACAATACTTTCAAATAATTCAACATCACCAATGGATCAAAGTGTTACAATATCAACAAATGGTTATCCAACACGAAGTAATTTAGAAAAGAATAGTTCCATTCTATCGATTAACTTTTGATTTCAATAGTACTCACCTCCTATGGTATAAGATATCTTCTTCTATTCATTTACAACTTCGAACAAAAGTCTTTTGTTTTTTTTCTGTTTCCTCTCTTCTATTTTAATTATAATAGTATTCAATCTGAAATAATTTGTATATAAGAAGAATGAAAAGAACAATTCATTTAGAGAAGTGCCATTTCATTTGACTAGTCCTTGAAGTCATCAACTCCATGTAGTTACTGAACACAGAATACACGCGCATTTTGATATACTGACACTAGTGTTGGACTATGTGAGACTATACTATGTGGGTTGAAAGATTGAAGATGAAATATTTGTTTATTTTTGATTCTTGTGAAAATGTTTTCGATGAGTCAAAAATGCTGAACTAGAATCGGAATTTTCTGCTTGTTCCGAATATGGGCTTAGAAAATTTGTCTTGATTTTATTTTGTTCGAGACTAATGAAATAACCTTCCAAAGACCCAAAACAATAGTTTCGATGAAAAATTTTTTCATACATTTCTATAGTGTCGTTGTTGTGATTCGAAAGTAAAAGCTGAAACCTTTATTAATATATCAGCTGATAGAGCAGAAGCTATCCTACAACACGGACAATACGAGATTTTTTTTGTCTATCGATATTGCACTTGAATTTTCGCTTATTTTAAACCCTTATTTTTAAAAAATCGACTTTTTGACCAAAAAGCGTTTTGCATAGATGCGGTAAAAGTTGTAACTTCATTCAACATAAAATTCTGTAATGAACTGTTGGTTGGACAAAATCGGTCGCTTCCGATAATTTGTAGCACTCGCGAAAAGAGACCTATTGAAGTTAGCAGAAGCCTCTTGGTTCGCCATTCAGTTTGATTTTAACACCTTTCAAAAGTTCTCGTCAGTGCTCTCGAACACATGTAGACACGATATTTCTAATCCTATATTGAAACAGTACAAAATCTTCATCCTAATCGTGACCCATCAGAAACATTTCCAAGATGATCAAAAATAGGCAAATATTTTGTCTTAAAACTTTCCGCCGTCTCATCATTTTCTCGGTCGAATTTTGATATATTTGTAGATCCAAGCTTGAGATTGTAAAATTTATGCATAAAACTATCTTATAATAGTGAATGGCAATATGAGAGTGAGAGAAAGTATTAAAGACTGTTTCAATTCTAGATCTGATAGAACTAAGAGCGAAATATATATTTTCATAGGTTATTACAAGATTTATATCTATCTTCCAATCTGATATACATAGATAATAGACCTATAATATTAATATTTAATTCAAACCGTTTATCTAGATTTTCTATACATTCAAAAAACTATATTGGATTCTGAATATTTTTCTTAGTTGTAGAAACAAACCTAAGATCCAGACTAATACAGATGATGAAGTGATGATATTCTTCAATAAAAATTCATTACTATCACTATCAAATAAAAGTCTATCCATGTCATATTATAGTTTCTCTGATTTAATCAATCGTTAAATCAAACTATGATCTAGAATGTATGGTCAATTAGATGAAAATAAAACAAAAGAAGTTAAATGATTCATGTATTTCAAAAAGTGAGAGAACTATAACATAAATAATATTGTCACTTGACTAATTGTACATTAAACTGTATTACATACTTACGTTATTTTTCAAACCAGTAATTCATTCAAAAGCATGCATTAAAGCACTAAACATCATGAACAAATATTTCTTTTTTCTGCCGCAGTTAATATAACTTCAAGGAAATAATTAAGATAAATTTACATTTTACATATAATATTGCAGTTCCTGTCTACTGCTGTTATTTTCTTCATAGTGTTAGATATTTATTTTTTGTTTTTTTTCTATACACGTTCGATAATTGTTTCATATGATTCAAGACATATGATTTTTCTAAGAAATATTATGAAAGTCATGATTTTTTTATCCCTCGAACTTTTGAATTATTTATTAAACAAAAATCTAAAGTAGCTTCTAATA